TGGATATGATTGATTCAGAATTAACCACTGAATTGAGTAATCAAACGACATATTATTCTCCATCTAACCAAGTTGACTTTTAGACTTAACTCGTTATTTAAAATAGGTTGAACTACATTAAACCCTCATTATTTTTCATTAAACCCTTTTTTTCTATTTTTTTAACCAAAAAATCCTCCCTCAACTATTCAAGGGGGTTAATTTAACTAATGGAAGTTAGTTGAAAGAAAACTGAAATATAAATTGACTTAAATATCCATTAAAGTCTATTTAAAAATCTACTTTGTTTTTTGTTCTTTTATTTATTAAATAACCTAAACGACATCATTCACAAAAATTAACACTTATATTGTTTTTTTTGTTTTAACATTCTATTAGACTGACAAGTTCACATTAGTCGCATGTAAAGAATTTTTTATTTTTTTATAGAAAAAAATGATATTGAAATATATATATATATAAAAGAAGAAGAAAAAAACATGTAGGCATAAATATTAATATAAAAAAGGAAGAAAAAAAATTAGACATTATTTCTCGTAGTGTCCCTTTAACAAATCTATATAAAATGAAAATCAATAAAAACCAAATGAATGAATATACAATATATTTCTCAAATATATGTAGATATGTATAACAGATAAATTTCAAGAAAAAAACCTAGATTTATATTGGTCTATATGGAAATGAAAATATAGTGTAAATAATATTTAATGGTACATATTATATATACCATTATATTATGATACAAATTATATATAATATTATAGTGATAGAAGAGTACGGGTTGTTGCAATGGTGGAAGACATGTGACTAAGAGTGATAATGGAGTAGATATATATGTGAGGGTATATTAAAATAGGTATAAGGACATTTTTGTCTAAAAAATATATGAGAAACTAAATATCCAGACAACCGCCTTTCAGCTAACTTCCGTTAGTTAAATTACCCCCCTTTAATAGTTGAGGGGAGTTTATTGACAAAAAAAGAAAAAGAAAATGGAGGTTTAGTGAAAAACACAAATAAAAAATGAGGGTTTAATGTAGTTCATCCTTTAAAATAACACTCTTGAAAGGATTTCAACTCATGACTCATGCTGTGTTCAGAAGTAATACTTTGGATGAAAAAAAATTAAGTTTAAAGTGTTAACAAAATTTCTTCCGATTCCAAATCCGCTTATAAATTCAATTACTCAAAACATAGCATTAGTTGATTTATATGCTTCTACGTATTAACATGCTTGTTTGTCTCTTATTTTGAAAGTGTGTACGTAGCATCCACGTGAACACATTATTTCAAACACCCATGCAAAACTATTGGAAGACTAATATAATTAAATTCATTGTAATAGAATCCTCATAACCTAAAAGTATATATATGGATACGTGGGGAAACAACACAATACAGGTACGGTAATACTCAAATTTTAAAAAAATAAGTCACGGTTACGACATGATACAGTAATAAAAAATTAATAAATTTTATTTACATATATATAAATTAATTTTTAATTAATTTTTTTAAAATATTATGAATCTAAATGCAATTATTAATATAACATATAAATTTGTTTCACAACAAATAAAACAAGCATTCCTAATCATCAATTAATAAATTTTAAACTTTTTAAAATAATTATACTATGTTATTATTGAAAAAATTGCATTTTAATGTTCAAACTTATTAAAAATGTGTTATAAAGTATCCGAAAAACGTCGAATACGCAGTCGAAATATTTAAGAAGTATATGAAAAGTATAGAATACGTATTAGAAGTAAAAAAAAAAAATGTATTTTAAAATTATGAATACGTTTAAGAAATATCGAACACGTATTCATGAGTATGTGTAAAATATCGATGCCTAACACGTATCCGATATGATTACGTTGCTGTCCTAAAAACATTCAGGGTCATAACACGATTCTCCCTTGCAATGTACTCGAAGTTCACCAGAATAATAAATCTCGATTTGTATAGAAATCCAATAGTATCCATTGCACATAGATATCTAAAAACTTTCAAAACATAATATAGGAAATTTTACATTTCAAAAAAATATATATAAGCATTTTTTTTAATGCCCAAATTATCTTTACACATTAGTGACATTATACCTTGAATATTTTAAATTGAATTTTCCCTTGTTTCTTAGGCACTATAGTTCGTCTTTTTGTCCACAGATGTTGAATGTTGTTGCTCATTTCTTTTCCTTTTTATTTTCTCCTTCATCTCTAGGACAGTACGAGTTCAAGAAAAGTTGTTTAAACAAATAAACAACTAAATCAACGTTGCATAGGAGAGTCCTAGATTAATATATGTTGTGTTCGGTCATTTTATATGGTATGAGAATTAGGGGTAAATGTAAAATATATATTTTTTAATTTTTTTAATATTTGACAAAGATGTAAATGACAGTTGAAGTGGAATTGATGAGTAAGTTATTTTTGTTAAGTTTTTATTATTTTTTTTTTTTGTAAATATTTTATGATAGCTAAATACCAAAAAATAAAAATATTTTCTAAAAAATATTTTACATCCAAACAAACATAACCATAGAACACAATTTTATATAAAATATTTGTAATTTTATAACTATTTTAAAATCAATTTTTAAAAGTTTATAATTTTAAAATTTATTAAAAAAATCCAATATAATGTTTTCTTTTTAGCAAAATTTTCATATTTATTTACGAGTACAATTTTACATACACCGAACCTAATACAATTTGTCCTCATTCTATCCAGATCTGGAAATTATTGCCTTTAAGTTTTGATTTTTTGGTGGACCAACCTATTTTGTTTGTAGATTAGTGGATGACTTTAGTAGAGGGTCGGGATCGAAGGAAGAGGTTCAGGATGTTTTAGGGTTGGTGGCTTTTGTTGTTAGGGTAGCTGGAAGGCTCGGAATAAATTTGTTTTTGATGGCTGGCTTTTTAATCTGCCAAGGGTGGTTTCGTTAGCTTGCTCATCCTTTTAGGAGTTTAAGGAGGCTTTTAGTTTTTCAGGTGTTGATTTGACCCCAGGCCGGCGGCCATCCCTCCCTTTCTCGTTGGTTGCCTCCACCTGAGGGTAATATTAAATGTAATATGGATGTTTCATTTTCTTCGGTTACTCAGATTGGGGGTGGTGGTGTTGTTTTCAGGGATTCTAGGGGAGTTATTTTACATGCAGTGCTTTTTTCCTCTTTTTCGGCTTCGACTGCTACTATAGCTGAGGCTATGTGTTTGCGTAAAAGTGGTTATCTGGACCTCAACTTTGTCTTATGAAAAGTTTTGGTTTGAGTGCGATTCTTTGTTGATGGTCCAGGCAATTGATGGAGATGATTGTGGTCTGGTTGAGCTTCATTCAGTCTCGTTTGACATTTGAGTGGTACTTCGGCGATTCTCTTATTCTCAACTTAGTCATGTACTTAGGCATGGTAATAAAGTCGCCCATGCTCTTGCCAAATTGTCACGTCAACACATTCTCAAGGATATTGCATTAATTTTTATTCCTATTGATATTCTTGCTATTGCAGCCCAAAGATTGTGTATTTGAATAGGCTGTTGGTGTTTCTTTGTCAGGGTAACTAAAAAAAAATAAAAAAAAATAAATAATAGAACGCGTCTTTGGACATCGTTTGTATCACACCTAATACATTTATTAGTCTATAAAGGTTAGAAGGGTAAGGTGTGTGTCCTCGGTATTCCTAATATAAAATTATTAATAAGATGAATTTTTTAAATTAAGATTTCATGGTTTGGAATGTATGAAACTTACAAGGAAAAAAGAGATTTTATCATAAAAGATTCTAAAGGAACAAAAAATTTCTGAATATAATTTTTTTTTTTTTGTAATTTTTTTTAACGGCAAATTAGGTAGTTAAGAAAAATTACTTTCCTTCAAATTTTACTTTTCCTTTTATACAAATTGCTAAAGTTTTTTTTTTTTTTTTTTTTTAAATTCATTTCTATCTAATAAAATGGAGCCGAAAAAATACAAATATTTCTTTATTTATTTTTTCTTCCTTTTTATTTATTTATTCTTAGTGAACGTGTATCGACCTCATCATACACCCACCATTTAAATTAAAAGTACGGTTCGAAAGGAAGATCTCAAAAACTTAACTTTCGGATCCCTATCAACGCCACTATATCCATAAAAGGTTTTTTTTTTTTCATTGCAATTTGTAACAAATTTAAACATGAAAACTTAAAGGATTTAAGAGATGATAGAAATTACATATCAATTTTATCTTTCATTTTCATTTTCATTTAGCGTTAAATATGTTTATTTATTTATTTTCGGCTCCTTGAAATTCACTACGCCACATAAACGCATATAAGATTTTGTTGTAGGACAAACAAACAAAATAATACTGTATCAAATATATGTTGGAAGTAGAATACTAATATCAACTTTCTGGGGAAAAAAAAAAAAAAAAAATCCCCATCTCCGCCTATGGCTCGTATAATCTATAAACGCTCCAAAAGGGATCTTGCATGATGTTTGGAGCAATACTGTAAATGTATGTTTGCTAGAACTTAAAAAAATAAAAAAATAAAAACAAAATAAAAAAAAATCCTAATTAAGATATGGATTGTGAGATGCAAAGATGTGTTAGACCATACTCTTGGCAATCTTGGGTTGTGTTATAAGGGATCATTTATCTCATATCGAATTCAAATAAAAAAATAATTGAATATAAACTCACGAGTGTGTGCATTATTTAATAATTTAAATTTTTAAATAAATATGCAAATATTCACCGGTCATAATCAGGACTAGACCCAATTTTTAATCCTGAGCCCCGTCAAGCAAATAAAAATTACTGTTTTTTTAGTACCGATGAAACATACTTTACTAGTGGTAAATATGGACATCAATAACTAAAATTGTTACTTCTATGGTATAACACAAACAAAGCATTAGCATATATAAACAATTCTTTTCATTCTTTCGATAGAACACAAATCAAATCACAATTCATATTCATAATATTCTTTTCTAAAATACACTGTAATTCTTTACTGTATTTATATAAATATTAAATAGAAAATACTTTGACTATACACTTGATCACACCACAAATCCCTAGTTTTCAAAGCCGAATCCACTTTTGGAGGCACTTTTTTGGAGAACTTGTTCGAACGCAAAGTCTTTGGAGAGACGATGCGCGTCCCCTCTCTCTCTCTTTCTCTCTCACTCTACTAGGTCTTTGAATTGCGCGTGGATCCCATCTCGATCGGTGAGTTTTCGATGCTGTGATCCCTTTTTTGAATTGCATCTACTTTCTCGGGAAAATCTCTAATTTTCCGTTCGATTTCTCTGGGTTTCTCGTGTTTTTTCCAGTGGGTATTGGATTTGGGACGAAGAGCTTGAAATTGAAAATCATGGGTTTGTTTTCAAGCCCTAGGAAGGGTGGTTTCGGTCGTTACCTTTTTGTCATCGGCGTTGTTCTCTTGGCCGTCTCTAGCGTTTCAGCTCAGGTATCGCTCAAGTGCTCTGTGTCCAGGTTTTATTTCATTATGCATTGATTGTTCTGAGCTTGGGTTTCAGGAATCTGGGGCTGATACCGACAGGGATGAGTCAAGTGGATTAGATCTGGGCCGGCGTAGCAAAGTGAGTGTACCCCCTGTTTTTGTCTTGTTTGGTTGCTGAGCAAATTGTTGAAAAAGGGATGAAATTATCATTGTTATGCTTTATGATTTGTCATAGAAACGTTTTATCGGAGAAGGTTTTTGGCATTTTTAGGTGTTTGGTTGCCTGTAATTGCTTTACAATTTTTTTATTGAAAAGGTAAATGGGTTGTAAAACCTTAATCTTTAAGGCTCCCATTTAGGTTGGAAGATTAAAGTGAACGGATCTAAGTTCAATTGACGCCTGAAATTATTAAATTTTAGGTTTAAGTTTTTAACAATCTGTTAATATGAGCTGATTTAAGTTTAATTATTAAATGAGTACAACTTAAATCTAAATTTAATGTTTAGATTTAAGTTCATAAAATATGCATGGATTGATTTGAGAGCCTTTATGTGTGCATTTCAAATAACAAGGTGCAAGGAGTTATTTGAAATTCATATTGACCATGATTCTATTTTCAGAAGGTTTGTAAGACTGTTGTCTATTATGCCATTTTTTTCTCCCCTTATGGAAACCCAAAAGGTACCTGTTTTTACTGTTGAACCTCAAATTCATTAAATTTAGTGGGTGGAAATCAAGGTTTTCAAGGGTTTTTTTTCTTTTTTTTTTTTCCCTTCTTTGCAATCCACAAAATAGTTATTACGTAGCTTGCTTGCTTTTTCTATTTACTAACATTCTGACACAGTTTTTAATAGATATAATATTAAGGCAGCCTAGCCTATCATAACCACATATGGAATGACATAATGTTAGGTTCTTAGTTTGTACCATAGTAGGCAGCAAGGCTCTGTAGAGCTCAAATGAACCCAATGTAAAAAATTCTGCTAAGGCGTTCTCACTTTTTCACTAATATTTCTTCCCCATTACGAATTATTTCTTGAAGATAGCATTTCTGGTCATTTTCTTCCCTTTTTCTCCCCTTAAAATGCATTCCAGACAATGATCAATCCTGTTCTTTTTACTTAAAGGAGTCAAATAATATGTACTGTTCATTTACTACTAGAAATATTAAAACATGAACTGTGAGATTTGAAATGTTTAATCGCCCAATATAACAATGTAAACTAAGTTTTTGAACACTCTTCCTTTGGTTTTGTTTCCCATATTTTTTCGCACGAGCCAACATTGCATGTTTGCCCCTTTCTCACTCCATATTTATAAATGCCATGCATGTGCATCATTAATTTCTTATTTGTTGGGTAAATTTACAACTCCTAACTTTGGTGTGCTTTTCTCGTATGGTTTTATGTAAATTTCTGGGACAGATCGTTATTGAAAAACTTGGGAGTGATTGGGGTGATCAAGAAACTGTTGTTCTACCTATCAATTTGGATTCTGGTCTTGGAGTTCTTGATGCGTTCCTTGCCAGTTTGTCAATGATTATCGTCAGTGAGGTTTGTGCGCTCACTTCATAGTATAAACCAGTTTCATTTATACACTCATGGTCACTACCGAAGTTGTTACTTTTGTATCCATGTCAATTTTATGGTGTTCTCTAAAGGATCATAATTTCAATAAGTTGCATGATACGACTACTCCAAAAGGAAAAAAAGAAACAGCTTCTTAATAGCCCTTTTTAGTATATTTGATTGCTAAATGCAGTTGGGCAACAGAATGTTGTCTTTGGTGCTGCCCCTAGGTGGCTAGGTAGATACTTCTATACCTTGCTCTGATGAATTTTTTAACTTGTGACTGTGCTGCCAGATTGGAGATGAAACTTTCATAATTGCAGCTCTTATGGCAATGCGTCATCCCAAGTCAATTGTTTTGTTTGGTGCACTCAGTGCCTTGTTTGTAATGACAGTAAGTATACTATTAAAAACCATTTACTCTTTTCTATTTCATGTTATGGCAGTTAAAATTAACTATGCCAACTATTTTCCCAATTCTATTTCATCACATGATCTTTCTTTTCCTTCTCATTTATGCTTCTACTGGATTGGTAAACTTTATCTGTTTATTGTAGTATGTGGCTTTAGTGATTATGAAGCAGTGCCTTCTAGTTTTTTCTTTTATGGGAATTTCTATAAGAGCAAATATGTTGTACATGTGATTTAGGTACTTTCCACTGGACTTGGTAGGATCGTTCCGAATTTGATATCGAGGAAGCATACAAACAGTGCAGCTACAGGTATTATTTTTCAATTTCAATTACTAAGATACAATCACACATTCTTTTCCAGTTCAAGTGTGATGCTTTCTTCAAGAAAATATTTAGTAGATTTGGTTTGGTATTTAGTATATATGTTATATATATATATATATAGTGACTCCCAGTAGCAAAACCACACCTGCCCCTTTGTGGATATGAGAGATGTGTAGCTTTACTCATTGCTTGTGCGTGCTATTTTTTAAGTTGTTTGATAGTAGAAGGGCATAGAAAGATTGCATATGGTTCTGTACATTTTGTCTTAGAGTCCGCTTGTAAGGAAGATTAAGTTTCTTTCCTTCTTTTGGTCTTTAGCCGATCAATTGTTGTTATAGGATTGATAACTTGGTGGCCGTATTTTCCTTTCACTGAAACCATATTGCTGTAAGCCTCTTTCTTGGGCTTCTTTGTAAGTTTGTGTATAGTGTTTCCTTGGCCTTAGTTGGCGTACCACATTTTACTTCATTTCATCCTGCCACATCGTGTATATTGAAGTTACGGACTTGTATTCTATGGTTTGTACCATTACCTACTAATAGATCTTTTTTGACCTTACAAGTAGAATACAATCCACGTAGAGAAAATAACCCACATAATAAGCACACCAAAACGAGAAGAAGGAATGTTGAATGAAACTCAAGTCTCCTAAGACTTGAGTTTTACACTGCATCACGAAGGAAATTTAATGCTTGCCATTTGGATCTCATAAGCTAGATAGACACCTAAATTTTGAATTTTCTTTTATGTTTTATATATTTTTTTGATAAGCCTTTTATGTTTTATATATATCCAGTTCTTTATGCTTTTTTCGGGCTGCGGTTGCTCTATATTGCATGGAGATCAGATTCAAAAGGATCCCAGAAAAAGGAAATGGAGGAAGTATGTTTTTGCTACTCAATACTGTTATTCAGTAGTGATTATTAGTTTTTGTGTCACTTTGCAATGTCTTGTTTTATATTTTGTTATATATTTTGATAGGGGCTGGAATACAATGCTTGTTGTTCTTTACCTTTGGCTATAGATATTAGTTTTTATTATGACTATTCTAGTTTTGATGCAATTTGGTGCTTTTGTGTCACTTATTTCACTTTATGTCCATTCAAATTATTTTTATAAAAAAATGATATTTTACTTTTATGCTTTCAAAATGATTATTTTGAACATTTATAGCACATAAATGTTTTTTTTGACATATTATTGTCTGCCAATAATTATCTTGGTCGAGGTTGTGATTTCGGCATTTGTCTTTGAGCCCTCAGTGCCAAATGTCATTGCTGAAAAAATGAACTATTAATGTTAGAAAATGAATAAATTGTCAATGCTGAATACAATGCCTAGCCTGTTGTGTTAGTGACACTGTTTTTTCTCCTCCATTTGTATGTGTATGAAACAATTTTCTTAAAATGTTGCATGGTTAATTATGTATGAGAATATTAGTATCTGTTGCATAATTGTCTTGGTGGTGGTTGTGATTGTGGCATTCTACTTGGAGGTATTGAGTTGCCAATTGCGATATTACAAATTAGATGCAATATATATATTGGTTTTAGTTGAATTTTGTATATGAGCACATATATAAAATGCAAGATCAAGAATAAGCGGAAGATGAACACATAGATTTACATGGTTTGGCACTAAGGCCTTCATCCATGGATCAAGAGCCACTAAGGGCTACATTCGACTTATAGTTGTATTACTTGATGATATTACATTGAATTGATACACAAATATATAGGGGATAAAGGTGTAGACAAAGGGAGTAAATCAAGGAGGAAAGAAGGGAAAAAGGTGTAGACAAAGGGAATAAAGCAAGGACGAAAGAAGGGAAAAAGGAAACATAAAATAGGGAATGGGGTTGAGTGGCCACCTAACCACTACAATATACATATACATACATATATATATATATATATATATAATATATATATATATATATTTCAACAGTTTTGATAAGTAAAGGTCTCTTAGCCACTGGACAATGCAAGAGGAGATGATTCACTGGCTCCTCATCCCTCATACACTTGCAGAATTTTGGAAAAATTGTTTAGCTTTGATTGCATACCGAGACGGATTAAATGTGCAAAGAAGCCCTGTGACACTGGAATCTAAAATTTTAAATAAGCAGTACATCATTTTTGAATGGAAAAACCACTTATGCTGCAAATCTGATTAGTCAGGATGTAGTAGTTATGTTTTTTAATATTCAAATATAATCATTAGATGTACATCATTTACAAACTTTAGAATTAATCTGTATACTGTCAATTCCAGGGTAGAAAGATTTTCTTAAAAAAATTACTGTTTGATTGAAATTAGAAGTGTTCTACTAAACTCTCACTGAGATTATTGCTACATGTGATAGAGTTGAATGAATATGGGATCCCATTTCTGATACAAGTCAAAAGCTTTTACCAGGCTTACGATTTGAGTGCCATATTTTGTAGCCAATTGGGTGCTAACCATGCACGGGCAAACTTGGGTTCATATAGCAGTTTTGGGGAAAGAATCAAGGGGAAAGATATTGCTATGAGTGTTAAAAGAACAGAAATGTTGTGATTTGACGACTAATTTGGATGGAGCACTAGAAGCTTACTCCATAAAACATCACACCCGAATTGATAATCGTGACGAAAAATAATGTTTTGTCATTATGTCTTGAATGTCTCTTTGGGTGGGGAGTCATCTTTCCTTCACATCTCTCAAGTCTCCATTGTTTATTTTGAAAAAATTGTACCATGAAATCAATCTCATCAAATGCTCCCTTCGTCCAAAACGATAATCTTGTTAATGTTGTGATTTTGCAACTGGATTAGCGAGATGTTGGCCAATCTAAAATCATTCATAAAATTTCTGGTTCATCATGTTTTCTTGCAAGAGGCTCATAAAACCCTCTCTCACATAGTGTAAGATGTGTTACTGATTTTATATTGTGCTTGCTTTCATCATTTTTCAAGCATGTCTGATCAGTGTTTGAATAGTTGCACTAGCTAATATTATTGAGTTAGCAATTTTTTTGCCTACTTTCATGCAGTTGTCAAACATGTTGTAATCTTTGTTGTTTGTTCACTTGCTATCATCCCATAATTTCAGGTAGAGGAGAAACTGGAGGCTGGACAAGGGAAAACAACAGTCCGTCGTATATTTTCTCGATTTTGTACACCGATATTCTTGGAGGTATGCCTAGTGTGTAGATACTTGTAGTAACACACTCAAGTCTCATGAAAATCAGCTTACTTTAATGTTTTGTTGCGTGCATTCTCAAGTTACCTAGGTTCTGTAGTCCTGTAATATTGTGGTACATTTTTATTTTTTATTTTGTACATTTTTGCCATTAATTCAAGAGAATTAATTGAAATGTGACTGATTGTTGTGTTTCTTTATGTCTATACTTTGTGGTGCAGTCTTTCATCTTAACCTTTCTAGCGGAGTGGGGTGATCGTAGCCAGATAGCGACAATCGCTGTAAGATAATTTCTTTATCCTTGAATCTTGTTTGTCCTATATATATTCTATTTAGGAGTACATAAACAACATTTATTTGTAAAAAAGAAATGAAATAAAAAGACTGGACCAGCCTAATATTTATATTATTTATTATTGTTGTAGTGTGATCTATTTATCAATTTTATCATGAATCCTTCTTTAATTTATTAAGTTATGTTACCATGAATGGGTGATTGGTTGGTTTCCGGGTAGTTGCCATTTAGATTTGATTAGGTAATCCCAACTCTACAATTTTTCCTAGTTGTTATTGGCTCTTCTTATAAGGTAGTTTTCTAAAAATCTTGAACATTCAGCAGAATTGGTATAGTAGACACATGATGATCTTCAGAAAATGCTCTTGAAAGAATTGTCCATCCCAAAAATTGATAGCCGAATTTATGTACCGTTTTGAATTTTATTTTATTTTTAAAAAAAGTTTAATGTAACGCTCCCACTGTTGGGTAATGGTATTTTGAACTATCAAAATTTTTCTTCACAGTTGGGAATTTGGAATAAAGTGTAACCTTAAAGTTTGTGGTTAATTATCATTTTGAGGTGAAATGCTTTACAAGGACAATTTCATCTAAAAGATTGCGTGACAGGCATTTCTGAAATGAAGATCGGTAGTGCTTTACTTTTTTTTTAAAATAGTGGGCAATTATGAGCCACATCATGCTGTATGCGACTTCAGTTTAAAAGAACTCGTGTTTGTCTTACGTTGTTCTTATGAATATTTCCGAAATGAAAGGAAAAAAACTATATGGAAATGGACATATATTATATGACGTGGATCCTTGAGGTGCAAGATTTGCATGCCTAGTGAGAGGATTTTGTGCTCTCCTTGTTCATTTAGTCAATCAAATGGTTTCCTTTAACCTTTATATTTGAAACACATTCTATTTTGTATGCTGAATTTTATGTCAAAAGCTTGCCGTTTGCTTTTTGTAGCCCATATAAAACATGGTGTTACGCTTGCCTGGTAATTGTTCTAGTAATAGTATGACCTGATTGTAAATTGTAATTGTACTCTTCTCGTCGAAGCCTTTAATTGCAACTACAGATTTGGGCTGCAGGTTTAGAATATATATGTACTCTCTTTCTCTCTCTCTCTCCCTCTATATATATATATATATATATATATATATATATATATATTTTCTGTTTATTAAAAAATAAAATTATTTTTCTCGATTCTGCAGCTGGCTACACACAAAAACGCAATTGGAGTTGCAGTAGGAGCTACTCTTGGACACACCATCTGTACATCATTGGCAGTAGTTGGAGGAAGCATGCTAGCATCCAAGATCTCACAAGGCACAGTAGCTACCATTGGGGGTCTGCTATTCCTTGGTTTTTCATTGTCATCATATTTCTATCCTCCCCTATAACTACAATCTTGTAGACTAACCTGATTGTTTAGGAGCAGTTGTATGCTCATCATATCCACCTTTTCATTCTCTCTTTTTGTTATATTTTACTGAGGAAAGTAAAATGTTCCATTTTTTTAAAAAAATCGATTTTTCTGCATATTCTTTTGTACAATATTCGTATATGAATACGTTAATTATTTTTCCCATTCGATGTTGATGCGTGTTTACAGGAATCAATAATTTTGAATTGATAAACAAAAATGATTGACCCCATCAATGGCTGTGTTAATGGAAGGAGGGAGGCAGGGGGACTAAAACTCCCTCCTGCGACATAGTGTCTCGTCCCGTCTGGTTAGTTCTGTATCTTACAAAAATGTGGTTAGTTCTGTATCTTACAAAAATGTTGTAATGTTCAACATTTTCGTTAACGTACATGACTACTAATTCGCCCGGAGGGAGGGAAATGAAGAGAGTTGAAGTAAGAATGAATTATTGAGGAAGTTATTATCCAAGGATTTGGATCCTCTAGGGTGCATATAAACACTTCTTGTACTTTGTTATACATTAAAACATTGGTTATCTTGCTGCATCGCCTATTATTTGGATGATACAATTTTAAAAGTAGAATAGTTTTACGATTTTAACCCTAAATTTAAACAAAAATAATGACGCGGCAAAACTATTAAATATTTTAGAAATGTTCATTTATCTCATCTTTGGAGATTTGATACAGCGAACCTAAAATACATACTCACCCAATATGCGTGTAACTTGGATGATATACACTCTTGCCTTGAACATTTAACAAGAAAATAATGGAGTATTGATATTTGATTCAATTTAGTAAAAACTCTTATATTAAGAAAAAGGGCAAAGTGCAATAAACTTTCCTCGACTATTGGTGGTTTGCAATAACACCCTCAACTGAATTTTTGCCAAAAAATTCCCTTCAATTATCCAAGGGGTCAATTACAATCTTGGGTTAGTAGAATCCATTTTTCGTGCTATTTACGTAACTGTGTCTATTATTTGTTTTTATATCGTTTTATGCAACAATTATGTTACGTTATTATTTCATGATACATTTTACTCTATGTTAGTAGTTACGGAATACACTCATCAACAAACACAATGTTTCTCTTCATCATAAAAAATAGTATACTTACTTTGTTGACGGTGAGACTATTTTTTTTAGTACTGAAATATTAAATGCTCAATTTAATTCATTACTTAATAGTTAATACAAAATGAGTGCACCTACAAGGTTGTTACATAAACATTTACATCTATGACTAACAAAAACAAATTTGTTACCCTCTCACATGCAATTTCAATTCCAAGAGACATTCAAGATGCATGAATTTTCTCTCTCTAAATTGACAGAGTTTCATTACACTTCAAATATTTCGATCCTCCATTCTTCCATTCCTCCTTTTTATTTATAGACAATTTGCATTATTCTAGAGCATTCTTAACTAACTTCCGCCGCTGGGCCTATCCTCAAGGTGAAATGGTTATGGGCCTGAATCCTCTTTGAAGGCCTTTTTTAGTCAATCCACTACACCCGGTCTGCTTTGTGGATGTCAAGTTTGGGCCCATGTCAATTATCAGGCCCAAACTTTGTTATGCGAGCTGGATCTGGCCCGAGCCGTCTTTGGCATCCTCAACTGCCCCCATAATCACTCCCTCATTAATTAGGGTGTGATTATTTAGAGACTCAATGATAACTTGACGGCTTATGATGATTTGACAGCTCAAGACGATTGCGTGGGGCACCGAGCGGTCGGCCTCGGAATTAATGTCCCTTTTGATATTCGAATCCCTTCAGCTTTCTGACGTCTCGGCAAATGGGACCACTTTCCCTTTAAATACCTTTCTTCCATGATCGAAGCTTTTCTTGTCGCATCTCTTACATCATGCTGTCAATCAATTCAGTCCACTTTCTCAAGGCGAACTGCATCTTTTCCGGTCACATCTCATCTTCTCCGGCGAATCTTGTGAAAGATTCTTCATCTTCAGTTTCCTTGCAATATCCTTTGAGGTTAGTCTTGTTGCCCCTCTCCTCCTAAAATCTCTGCACTCTTTGCCAAGGCTCATAATCTCTTTCACCATGCCCATCGATCTAGATATTATTCGCATGAAACTCCATCTTCCCAATAATATTCATGTTAGGGAGTGCCCCACAAATGTAAATATCAGAACTGGTGAAGGCCTTCTTCCCGGTGAAACCTTATTTTGCCTCCATCATTTAAACATTATTAGATTCCCTCTACATCATTTCTTTTGTTATGTATTCAATAGGTTGAAAATTTTTCCTCTCCAAGTTAACCCCAACTTTTTTAGGGTTCTATCTATTCTGTTGCTTCTGAATCATGACAGAGGTTTGGATCTTGATTTAATTGATCTTCTCCTTTGTTACAAAGTTAGCAAGATCAGGTTGGATAAGGCTTACTACCATTTCTATCCGTTCGAGAAAATGTCCTTCTGTACGGACAAACTTAAATTTGAAAAAAGGGTGAAAAAGAGGCATTGTTGGGGTTCGGGGAGCTTGGTTTGCTCTAGCAGCCAATGAATATCCTATCTCGAACGCCTTTGGCGAATGTTCTGTCTCTTCTTATAAGAAGTCTAAGACTCATAAGGCTGACTGCCCTTGTGAAATTTGCATTCCCCGTTTTTGTTCTTTTCTTTGCAATTCTCTGGGTATCACTTTGGATAATGAACTCAGTTACAGCATTTACAGGGATAGGATCACATACCTGAAGGAACACGTGCTGAGCAACGTCCCCTCTTGTTCGGAGCTTTTCACATCTGAAAACCTTAGTGACATTTCAGTCCTCGGTTGCACAATGAGTAAACTCCAGATCCCTTCCTTCAGTAGGAAGAAGGCTCCTCCTAGGGCTGTGACGACTCCTGCAGCTTTTTCTTCTCCAGCCTCAACATCGTCCTCTGCTACTACCTCCAGCACTACTCCAAATGCAATGAATACTAACCCAATCGTCAATGTTTCTTCTGTCAATCCGAGCACCGCTCCTCGGACTCGGGGCCCCTCTGCCCCCGCTACATCCACTCAAGACAAAGAGTGAGGAAAAAGGCCCCAACCTGACAGTGAGGGCAATCCTGATGACCTTCCTTTGACGAGGAGGGTTTGGACTTCTGGGCCGAACGTGCCCATACCCGCCCAGATCAGACCGGTTGCTCCTTCTGGATTTGGCACGGCCACTGCTTCTGCCTCTAGTGAGGCTTCATGGACTCCTCGATTCATCCGAACAGATGGATCGATTGTTAAACTGAGTGACACCATGTTCAAAGATGGCCTAACCACCATGGCTTATTATAAGAACATGTGGTCCCCCAAAGATGTTGAGGTTGCCAAAGCTCTTTCTCAGAAAGAAGTGTTCAGTCGTTTTTCTTTGGCTGTTATGGAGGTAATTCCCTACCATGGTCTTAGTCACCTCAGAAGTATCTTCATTTTACAATTTCTCTGAACATACGTTCGGCTTAATTAGTATTTATGTATTGTTTTGCAGATTCTATTTGGCATGATAGCCTTGTAAAAGCATGTTGAAGCTGCCAACGTTAAGGCATGAAAGTTCGCCAAAGACGTTGAAGTAGGTCACAAAGAGAACTAAATCATTAGCATCAAAAATGTTGAACTCATGGTGCAACTGAACAAGGTTGAGAATGAAAGGGATAGTCTGAAGAAGGAAGCAGACTCCCTTCAGGATGAGAAGAACGCCCTTCAGCTTGAGAAGAATATATGGCAGATCGAACGTGAGTCGTTTAAGGCTGAAAGGGACAACCTTCAGCGCTTGTTTCATGACGAACAAGCGGAGCGCATGACCTTTGAGAAGAGGGCTCTAGATGAGCGCAATGCCTTGCTTAGCGTTATTGGCAAGGTTAATAGCGGGGTGACAGCTCTGCATAGTCGCTTCTCCAGAATCGGAGCCCTCAGATATGCTGAAGGGTTCAAAGAGGGTTATAATGATTGTCTTCCTGCTGAGGGTCAGACCGGTTCCACTCCAGATGACATTAACAATGAACTCAAGATCGATCCACCAGGAATCTATACTGACCCAGACTTCTCTCCTGCCGAGCATATCTTTGATGAATGCCAGGAGATTGTATCTTTCGGGGTTATACCTGCCCCTCATTCTCCACATCTGGATGCTCCTCCTCTGTCTGTCGTGGTTCCATCTGCAACTGCTGCCGAGGGTGGAACCCTACAGAATCCTTTGTTTATCGTGGTTCCATCCGCAACCGCTGCCGAGGGCGAAACCCTGCAAAATAAAACAGTGATCCAACTACATTACCCTCATCACAGTGATGCTGCAGCCACTGATGGGGAAAGGAACGCCAGCAACCCTGAGGGGATTGTTGAAGCTGAGCGGGTTGATGAGGCTGAGCGGGTTAATGAGGAGATGAGCATAGCTTGATTGTACTTATATTTTCTTTATATCATCTTCTTTGTAATTCTCACAACTCCTTATATAAATGAAAATGATGATTTCTATTACTCATGATTTCAAACTTTGCATCATTTGTTAATAACTGTTTGTATGAATGAATTGCCATTTATTTTGCATCCTTCGTCTATTACTAATTGGCAAGTATTTTGAATCAATCAGAAGTTAGCAGCGGTCAGCCATCCACAAGCAAATGGTCAAGCTGAGATCACAAATAGAACGATCTTCTCTTGCATAAAGAAGAAGCTTGAAGATGAGAAAGGGAAGTGGTTGGATGAACTCCCGAACGTTCTATGGGCATACAGAACGACACCGAGGCGACCGACCGGGGAGAGCCCGTTTGCCATGGCATATGGTACCGAGGCAGTAATACCGGTGGAGCATCAAGTTCCCACTGTTCGAAACCTAGCATGGAATCAGGAGCAGAATGATCATAGGCTGAGGTTTAACCTCAATTTGCTTGAGGAAAAGAAGAATGCTGCGGCAGTATGGCTTGCGTTATATCAGCAAACACTTATGAATAGCCATAACAGGAAGGTGAGGCATAGGGATTTTGTACTTGGTGATTTAGTTCTGAAAAGAAAAGTTGGAATTATTAAGAAAATGATGTCACCTTGGGAAGGACCGTATAGAATTGCGGAAGTTATAGGAAATGGGCCATATGTGTTGGAAACTATGGCTGGCGCAGCATTCGATCTGATTCTACTTGCCTCATCCTTTCGTTCGGGTAAAACACCATTTCGGATATATGCCATAATTGGATCTATCCAGCTTCGCTCATATGGTATGACGTTCACCTGCCATGGGTCCGAGCTTGACGACTCCTCCGAGATAGATGGCTAGCACAGCACACCAACTGGAATCACCCTTGCCAATGTCTTACCCGAGCTCGATGCACTGTAGGCCAAACGGTCGGCATCTTCATTGTGCTCCCGCGGCACTTGAATGAACTTGATCTGATCGAAATTGCTGGCCTCGTGCATAAAGGCTAAACGGTATGCTTCCATAGTTTGATCTTTGGTACCATACTCCCTAGTCACTTGTGGAATGATCAGCTGCGAGTCACTGAAGGCGACTAAGTTTTTGACTTTTAGTTCCTTGGCCAACCTTAATCCAGCCAGTAGCGCTTCATACTCTGTTTCATTATTGGTTGCCCTAAACTCAAGTTTGATTGCTTGGCTCAGCACAGTGCCCTCTGGTGTTTGCAGTTTGACCCCGATTCCTGCCCCCATTTGATTTGAGGAGCCATTAACGAAGAGCTTCCATGAGGATTCTTCCAAACATGCATCTGGCTTTTTCACATCACACTCTAGTAAGAAATTAGCCACTGCTTGCCCTTTGATGGCCGTTCGAGGTTCATACGTGATATCAAAAGAGCTTAACTCTATCACCCACTTCGTCATTCGTCCGGACAGATCGGGCTTATGCAGGATCACCCTTATGGGAAATGTGGTCAGAACGGCTATTGGATGGGATTCAAAGTAGTGCCTGAGCTTCATTTTTGCATTTACCAAGGACAAGATCACTTGTTCGGCCTTTGAATATCTTCTCTCTGGCTCGGCCAATGTTTTGCTTACATAAAAGACTGGAAATTGCTTACCCTCAGCACACCGGATCAGAACACCGCTGGTTGCAACGCTAGAAACTCCGAGGTATAAGAAAAGTTTTTCACCTAGTTTTGGGGCATTCAAGACTGGTGGGTTTCGCATATATTCTTTCAGATTGGTCAGTGCCTACCTTTGTTCATTCCCCCAGGACTGCTTTCCGTGACCTCTGATTGTATCAAAGAATGGTTTACACCGATCAGATAACTTGGAAATAAACCGACTCAATGCTGCTATGCGTTTGGTAAGAGCTTGAACTTCCTTAATAGTGCACGATTCTGCATTTTTAAACAAAGCTTCCGCTTGGGTTGAGCTGACCTCAATCTCTCTATTGTTGACCACGTGGCCAAGGAACTGCCCTGATCCCACGCCGAACGAGCACTTTGTCGGATTTAATCTCATTCCATACCTTCTTAATACATTGAACACTTCTTGTAGATGCTTCAAATGATGTCCCTTCTGTTTGCTCTTTATCACCATATCGTTGATGTAAGCCTCCACTGTTTTGCCCATTTGATCCTTAAAAATTTTGCTAACCAACCTTTGGTACGTAGCTCCAGCATTTTTCAATCCGAACAGCATGACCTTCTAATAATAGATCCCTTATTCGGTGATAAAAGAAGTTTTTTCTTCATCGTTTGGATCCGTAGGAATTTGATTATAGCCTGAATAAGCATCAAGAAAAGTTAACCGCTCATACCCTGTTGTAGCGTCCACAATTTGATCAATCTTCGGAAGTGGAAAGCTATCCTTCGGGCATGCCTTATTCAGATTGGTGAAGTCAATACAAACTCTCCATTTTTCATTCTTCTTCTGCACTATAACCACATTTGACAACCAGTTCGGGCATTGTATTTCTCGAATGAACCCAGCCTCCAATAATCGGTTTACCTCCTCAGCAATGATCTGGTTGCGTTCCGGGGCGAACCTCCTCTGTTTCTGCCTCACAAGCCTGACGCTCGGATCAACATTAAGGGAATGACAAGAGATAGAAGGGTCGATCCCTGGCATGTTCGAATGGCTCTAAGCGAACACATCTGCATTTTGAGAAAGGAAATCAATTAACAGGCGTTTTTCCTCATCTGAGAGTCGCGATCCTACTTTTATGGTTCGGTTTGGCCTCAAATGATCAATTTGAACTTCGACCAGAGGCTCTTCGGTCAGCATCGTGGGCTCCTCCTCCCTGCTCATGCTGAGGGGAGGTTCCTGTAATTGCTATTGCGCAGCAACAGATCGGATGTGAGCCTTTTCCTTCCCTGCGGCTTTCAGAGTTACTGAGTAGCATTCCTTTGCTACAACCTGATCCCCATGAATATCAATCACCTTGCTCCTGTCTGGGCTTAGGCATCTCATCACTTGGTGTAGGGTTGAGGGGACTCCCTGTACCCTATGGATCCATCCTCTCCCCATCAACAAATTGTAGGAGGGATAGCTCTCCACCACCACAAAACTTTCGACTAAGTCCCTCTCAGCTGTTCGGACCACCAATTCAACTGTGTCGATCGGTTCGACTCGTTTGCCATTAAACCCCAACAACGGATTTCCTGTAGACTTAAGCTCCTCTGGCTTAATTTCAAGCCGATCAAAAGTGACTTTAGGCATGATATTCGCACTGCTACCCGGATTGACGAGCACTCTTCATACTAAGTATTCTGCCACTGTCAAACTGACAACTAAGGGATCCTCATGCGGAATCTGAACTCGTATCAGGCTTGTCTTATCGAACCTTATCTGCACGGCTGAGCTTTGTTGGTGCAGAGTGTTGACACTGCCTACTCGCCTCTTCATTTGCGCTTGGCGAAGGCATGTTCGGAGCAATTCCTTGGATTCTGCAGTCTGCTCGGGTCGGACATGGATTGCGTTGATAATCCGTACGGGCTGAGCATTATGGTGGTTTAGTTTTTGGTTTCTTTTGACCTGCTCAGCTAGACGATTTTGCTCTTGCGCCGGCCCTTGAACATACCTTGCAAACTCACCTCTGGCGATCAGCATTTCCACTTGCCTCCTCAGATTCCTGCATTCGTTAGTTTGATGACCAAAATCACTATGAAAAGCACAATGTTTAGATTAATCCCTCTGCTCGAGAGGTTGTCTGATTGGCAAGGGAGGACGAAACTTATCTTTGTTTTCTTGGTAAAGCCTCGCCAATGTAACTTTGAGTGGGGTAGTTCATCCTCTCTGGGCTTTTTCTCTGCTTTCCAGGAGATCTGACGCTGCGGCGGGGGTTGTTTGGCTTTGGACTTCGCTTCTGTGGAGACGATAGACGTCTTCCTAACGTTAGCTGCTTCCTCTTCTTCCAGATGAACGAAACCATCAGCTCTCTTGTTCAGCTCGTTCATCGTCTTTGGTGTGTTTACCACCAGACTTGTATGGAACGGAGTCCCTCGGGTCATTACTAGCTTGAACGTTTGAACGGCTGTTGATGGATGACATTCCATAACCGTACTTTTAACAAGGTTAAAACTGGTGAGAAAGGCCTGGAGCTGCTTATCCTCATGCTGCTTCATTGTAAACAAACTTGACACATCTTTTGCCGGACGTTTATTTCCATAATACTGACTTATGAACTTATCACACAAATCTTGAAAGCTAGCAATTGAACCTTGAGCCAAGTTCTTGAACCAAAAGACGGCTTGGGCTAGATCTAGCTCACATAACAAAGTTTGGGCCTGATAATTGACATGGGTCCAAACTTGACGTCCACAAAGCAGACCGAGTGTATTCCCACAAAGCAAACTTGACGTGGTCGTGGGTTCGATTCCCACAGACGGCGCCATTGAAGATGCATGAATTTTCTTTCTCTAAATTGACAGAGTTTCATTACACTTCAAATATTTCGATCTTCCATTCCTTCTTTCTCTTTTCTATTTATAGACAATTTGCATTATTCTAGAGCATTCTTAACTAATTTCCGCCGCTGGGCCTATCCTCAAGGTTAAATGGTTATGGGCCTAAATCCTCTTTGAAGGCATTTTTTAGTCAATCCACTACACCCGGTCTGCTTTGTGGACATCAAGTTTGGGCCCATGTCAATTATCAGGCCCAAACTTTGTTATGCGAGCTGGATCTGGCCCGAGCCGTCTTTGGCATCCTCAGACATCTATCATAGCAATAACTAGATTTGTTACTTCTATGGTTATAACACAAACAGAGCATTAGCATATATAAACAATTCTTTTCATTTTTTGATAGAACACAAATCAAATCACAATTTTTTTTTTTTTTTTTTTTAACATTGCAATAAGAAACAGTCATACGACATCTATAAAGCGCATCCAAAGATACAACCGTATGCAAAGGCCCAAAGACCCTGCACCCATAAAAACAGACCATCGCCCAGTCCATACAAAGACCCATAGACAATTGGTCCTTGTTAGTTGCAGGCCATAGAAATGGGCTTAAAGCGAGATCATACAGAACATCAGCCCAAGTGAAGAAACCCACCACAACAGTTGCAAGATTTACTGGATAAGGGCTTCATTCGACCTATTATTTCACCATGGGGTGAACCGGTGTTATTTGTTAAGAAGAAAGATGGTACTATACGGTTGTGTATTGACCACAGACAGTTAAATAAAGTAACCATCAGAACAAGTATCCATTGCCACGAGTTGATGATCTGTTTGATCAGTTACAAGGGGCAAAGGTGTTTTCTAAGATTGACTTGAGGTCAGGATATCACCAGTTGAAAGTAAAGGATAGTGACATTTTGTAAACTGCTTTCCGAACTCGATATGGCCATTATGAGTTTTTGGTAATGCCTTTTGGGTTAACAATGCTCCAGTGGTGTTTATGGATTTAATGAATCAAGTATTTCATCTGTATGTCGACTCGTTTGTTATTGTCTTCATCGATGCTATTTTGATTTATTCTCGGAGTGTGGATGAACATGAAAAACATTTAAAAATTGTACTACAGATTTTATAGGAGAAACAACTTTTTGCTAAGTTTAGCAAATGTGAGTTTTGGCTTGATAAAGTTGTATTTTTGGGGCATGTGGTATCTGGGGATGGTATTTATGTTGACCCGTCAAAAGTAGAAGCAGTAGTGAAATGGGAAAGGCCAACTAATGTGACAGAAGTCAGAAATTTTCTGGGATTAGCAGGTTATTACAAGAGGTTCATCTAAAGGTATTGCGTTGCCATTAACGAAGCTGACCCGAAAGGAAGTAAAGTTTGTGTGGGGTGAAGAATGCTAAAGAAGTTTTGAAGAATTGAAGAAAAAGTTAACGTCAGCCCCAGTGTTAACTGTTCCGTGTGGTGGTGAAGGTTTTGTGATTTACACTGATGCTTCACATCAGGGTATGGGATGTGTTTTGATGTAGAATAGAAAGGTAATTGCATATGCTTCGAGACAATTGAAGAATCATGAATTGAACTATCCTACACATGACTTGGAGTTAGCTATTATTGTTTTTGTTTTGAAATTATGGAGGTATTATCTGTATGGTGAGATTTGTGAAATATTCACTGATCATCAGAGTTTGAAGTATTTGTTTACACAGAAGGATTTAAATTTGAAACAAAGGCGTTAGATGGAGTTAATCAAAGATTATGATTCTAATATTCACCATCATCCTGGAAAAACCAATGTAGTAGTAGATGCTTTGAGTAGGAAGTCTTCAAGGAAACTATCTTGTGTACAGTGTGCACGGGTGGCAAATATTATGGAGTTGAGACTGATGGGAGTTGAATTGACAATTATTAATAAATGAGCATTGTTTGCACATGTTACGGTGAGACCTTTGTTGCTTGATCGAATTAAGGAGTTGTAAAGTCATGATGTATTCTTGGATAAAAAAAGAAACGAAGCTCAAGAAGGTATGCAAACTGAATTTACAGTTAGGGATGATGGGACTTTGTATTTTAAAAGTCGAATTTGTGTTCCAAATGAAGTTTCTTTGAAGAAAGATAGTTTAGATGAAGCCCACAGTTCTATATATGCTATGCATCTAGGAAGTACTAAAATGTACAGGGATTTGAAGGAATACTACTGGTGGAATAATATGAAGCGTGAAATTATAGAATTTGTAACAAAGTGCTTGGTATGTCAACAAGTGAAAATTGAACATCAGAAACCAGTGGGGTTGTTGCAGCCATTACCAGTTCCATAATGGAAATGGGAGCATGTAATAATGGATTTTGTGACGGGACTTCCAAGATAAAAAAAGGGGACATGACTGCATTTGGGTGATAGTTGATAGATTGATGAAATTATCTCATTTTTTGGCAGTGAAAACTACTTATTTTACCAAGGAGTATGCTCATTTGTATGTTGATGAGATCATATGTTTGCATGGGGCTCCAGTTTCTATTGTTTGTGATAGGGATCCGAAGTTCACTTTTAGATTTTGGTGTAGTTTGCATGAAGCCATGAAAACTTCTTTGAAGTTCAGTACAACTTTTCACCCGCAGACAGATGGGCAGTCAGAATGAATTATTCAGATTTTGGAAGATATGTTGAGAGCTTGTGTACTGGATTTCAAAGGTAGTTAGGATGATTATTTATCATTGATTGAATTTGCTTATAATAATGGTTATCAGTTTACTATTGGGATAACACCATATGAAGCATTGCATGGGAGGAAATGTAGAATTCCATTGTGTTGGGGTGAAATGGGTGAAAGAAAGTTATTGGGTCCAGAAATGATTGAACTTACAACAGAAAAAGTGAAGATAATTCAGCAGCATATGAAAGTAGCATATGATAGACAGAAAAGTTATGTGGGTGTGCAAAAAAGAAGGGATTTAGAGTTTGAAGTTGGTGATTTTATTTTTCTTCGTATTTCTCTCTAGAAGGGTATTATGAGGTTTGGAAAGAAGGGTAAATTAAGTCCCAGGTACATTGGACCGTATAAAATTCTGGAACGGATAGGAGCAGTAGCTTATCGGTTGAAATTACCAAAACAATTATTAAGATTACATGATGTTTTCCATGTGTCTATGCTTTGGAAGTATATATCAGATCCATCTCATGTTTTAGTTGTGGAATCGATAGAGTTGAAGGAAGATTTGACTTATGTAGAGGAACTAGTACAGATTTTGGATCGCCGAGAGCAAGTGCTACGGAATAAAACTATATCACTGCTAAAGGGATTGTGGATAAGTCACATAGTTGAAGAAGCGACTTGGGAAAGCGAGGAAACTATGAGAATGCAATATCCTCATTTGTTCAGTATGTTTCATGCATTTTAATTTTGTGGACGAAATTAATTAAAGGGGGGAAGAATTGTAATATCTCGATACAAAAATTAATTTGGTTAGCATAATTTAATTTTAATTTGTCATGATTTATATATAAATATTTATTTTGTGAATTTTACATTTTGTATCAAGCTTACTAATTACAACCCAATTGGAAATAATATTAATAATATAACTGATGGAAGTGGAAGGAGTGATACATTTGTGTTGGTGGAATACCATGAAATGGGTATGTACCGAAGTTGTGTGTGAGTGTGTTTGATACCAGGTGGTGTGTGTGTGTGTGGTGATTGTAAGTGTAAATGGGTGTGCCCATGAGGTGATAAATTTTTATATATAAATGCACAATATATATTATCACATGAAGATATATATGGAGGTTTTCACACTTCTCTTTGC